ATTAGGTAATTTGTCTTCTTCTTATTGATTTATAGACTTCCTTGTATGTTCTGAGCATCATCTGTTTTGGTTGTAAGGTTTGTATTTTCATTCCATCTGGGGTTTTCCCCCCTAACCTTTTATGATATATTTTTATATACAGATGTTTTATTTTATTTTTTTATACAGATGTTTTAAACTTTACCAAATTTATATTTTATATATATATATTTTTTTGTGTTTGAATTTGGAACTCCTTTTCTATACTGAGATTTTAAAGGTTTAATTTAAATCTAGGAGATTAAAATTCTCCTAGAATTTAAAGTTTCACCTTTTTACATTTAGGTCTTCACCTGAAATGTATTTTTATTTCTAGTCCTTAATGCTCATTAACTGATTTCTGGCCCATCAATTCATCGAAGATGCTTAAAAAAATGCAACCGCATTTTTTTTTTTTTGTGCCAAATTCAGAAGACACAATGCAGTCCTAGATTTTCATTTTACTCAATCTTTTAGTAGCATTTGGCATTTTTGGCACCTCTCTCATCCTAAAAACAGTCTCCTCATATGGTTTCATTAATGATACACTTCCTTATTTTTCTCCCACTTCTTTCAAGGCTCTTTCTCCTTTAATAGAAGTACCAATAGCCATGATTTAGGAAGTACTTTTCTATGTGCTAGGCTGTATGTTTGTTCATTTTTTTTTCAATGCAATCCTCACAACAGACTGCTCCATCAGAAATAGTGTGGATGAGGAAACTAGGGCTCAGAGGATTTATATCACTTTCCCCAGTATTCAAGTCCACACAGATTGAATTTGAGTTTGAATTCTTAAATGCTTTACAGGGCTAGTGCTGTTGTCCCAATCTAGTATCTACTCTTTGGAGTTGTCATAGCTTGGTCTAGGATCCTATTCTCTTTTACAGCTTTAAAAACTATTTATATATCAAAATGACTTACACATTTATGTTTACATCCCAGAACTATTTCTTTTTTTAAGTATTTGTTAGTTGTTGATGGATCTTTATTTTATTCATTTATATGTGGTGCTGACAATCGAACCCAGTGCCTCACACATGCTAGGCAAGCACTCTGCTAGTGAGCCACGATCCCAGCCCCTCAGCCCCCCAGCCCTTTACTTCTTGAGGTGTGCATGTAATTTTGCCACTTATAGGCTCCTCAAACTTAGCATGTCTAAAATTGGACTCTTGATCTTATTATCACCAATCTCAGGAATTGGCAATTCCATCTCTATGGTGTCTCAAGCCAGAAACCTGACAATTATTTTTGGTACCATTATCTCCCTTCATCCAGTCCCTCACAAAAATTTTTAATTCTACTTTTAAAATATATCATAATCTGTCTACTTCTCTCCCTCTCTTTTCCACTCCTAACTGCCACTCTCCTAGTCCAACCTGGCCACTCTTAGACTCTCCTAATTGATCTCACTTCTCTGGCTCTTGCATTTTTTCTATTCTTCATTCAGCAGTTACAGGGATATTTTATACTGTGAATTAAATCACGTTCTTTTGCTGCTGAAATCGCTCTCTCTTTTTGAGGAACTGGTGATTGAAACCAGGGACTTGCACATGCTAGGAAAGCAAACTACCAATGAGCTGTGCCCTCTAATTTTTAATTTTTTTTTATTTAGTTTTTATTTTATAGACTGGGTCTTGCTCAGTTACCAAGCTGGCCTTGAACTTGAGATTCTCCTGCCTCAGCCTTTTGTGTAGCTGGGATTACAAGTATATGCCACCACACTTAGCTTTCTGTTCAAAGCTCTCAAATGTTTCCTGGAAAGAATGTCATATTGTCTATTGTTCACTAGTATTCTCCTTTCCTGCAGGAGAACTTGAAGTTAGGAGGGCCTGTCACTTGTTTTAGCTAATACAATGTGCACAGAAATTGTGCATTTCACCTACAGACAGAAGCTTTAAGAACTGAGCTTGCATTTCTTGTTCCTTTTTCTGTGGCTAGTAACCATATTCCACAAGGTGGATACATTGGTCCCAGAATAAGGACAGTGACATCCCAAATGCAGAGCCCACTGCTAAACTATGATGGACACATGTATGAATGAGATATTCATCTTGTAAGCCACTGACATTCTAGGGTTGTTATTACAGCAAAACCTACTTTACTTGGATAATACAGGTCTATGTTGCTCTTGGGATCTTTGACATGGCCTATGGTGCTCTGCATGGTCTGGCCGCTGCTTGCACCTCTAGCTTGTGCTACTCCTCCTGCTATTCATTATTCTCCAGTCATGGAAGATTTCCTTTAGTTCCTTGACCTTACCAATTTCTTTTTCTTCTCAGGAATGTTAAAAGTGCAAGGAATACTATTTTCCCCACTTTTCACTAGCTAATACTTTATCTTTCTGGGCTTAGCTTACATATCAGCTATTTCAGAATGTTTTTCCTTCACTCCCCAATATATATTAGGTTTTCAGTTATGTTCTTATAGAGTATTTGCAAACAGGGATGTGTGTGTTGAAGGGAAATTGCACTCATTTCAGTTTATAATTATTCTAAGGGGTATGCTTTTTCTCTGACTATTGCTAGCTGTCAGTGACAGATTCCCCAATAAAAAGTGGCTTAAATAATAGATAGAGGTTGAATTTATCTCCTATCTAAAGAATCCCAGTGGAAGCTGATTTCAGAATTGGTTCACTGACTCAGTGATGTTATCAAGGACTGTGACTTCTTCCTGTTTTTGAATGGTGCTGGGGATTGAACCCCGGGCCTTATTCATGCTAGGCAAGTGCTTACCTGGTGCGCTACATCCCCAGCCCTTTTTATTTTTTGAGGCAGCGTCTCATTAAGAGGCATAGGCTGGCCTTGACTTGGGATCCTCCTGCCTCAGCCTCCTGAGTAGCTGGTATTACAGGTGTGTGCCACTGTACCCAAGTTGCAAACTGGGGTTCTTTTTACATGTCTGCTCTGTTATTCCAAAATGTTGGCTACCACCTTTAGTCTTGTGGACCCAATATCATTAGAAATCAAAAGGAAATATTCAGCAATATCAGTTCACAGGGAAAGGATTTAAAACATGGGCCCAGAATAATACTGGGTCCTCATAGGTCAAAGGCTCCTAAATTTCAGCAGAAACTAAAATTTCGACGTGTACAGAAAATGTACTTGTTTTGTCTAAACTGGCTTTTCTCCTAAGTCCCAGCTTTTGCATAATGGCAAAAAGAAAAAAAAGAGAGAAAGAAAATTAACTGAATATTTTGAAAGCTTAGTCAAGCAACTGAATTAGCCCCTTTGAGAATTATTTACCGGCTGGGGATGTGGCTCAAGCGGTAGCGCCCTCGCCTGGCATGTGCGGGGCATTGGGTTCGATACTTAGCACCACATAAAATAAAATAAAGATGTTGTGTCCACTGAAAACTAAAAAAATAAATAAAATTTCAAAAAGAGAGAATTATTTACTTCCTTTATCTTAGAAAACAATTGCTTACTAAAGCTTTACCCAAGAGAGCATCCAGAACTGCTGTGACTTCTGTTGCATTGGGGCACATGACCTATGCACATCCTTCTGGCATGCTGGTTGGTTCAGCTGGTTCCTGGTGTTTGCTGCTGGTCTCCATTGTGTGTGGGTCTGTGGCTGAGTTGTTCTTTGGCTCAGTGTTTGTGTTGGCTCCCTGTGGCTGCTGTGATTACAAATTTCTAAATTTCTCCCTGGGTTAGCTTTTCATTGTTGTGATCAAAATATCTGAAATAAACAAAAAAGGGAGGAAAGATTTATTGTAGCTCATGGTTTCAGTTGATGGTTTGCGGGCCCCATTGCTTTGGGCTTGATATGAGGTAGAAAAACATCACTGCACAAGATAAACCCTTCCAGGGCGTGACCCCAGTGACCTATTTCCTCCAACTGGGTCCCACCTCCCAATAATCCATTCATGTTATTAATCCATTCAATGGATTAAATCACTGATGAGGTTACAACCCACATGATCCAATCATTTCCTAAGTCATTTCATGTAGCTCACTGACCAGGTGGTTTCTCCCATTACACAGGAGGAACCGTTCAGCTCCAAATTTCCTTGTTCAGCTATCCTGAATGTGTAAACATATATTTATATATTGTAAACATTTGCAATTGTCAATTCATGTTACATATCAGAAAGTTAATTTTTTCCCTTAGATGCACACACACTTGCTAACACACACAACACACACATACACACAAACACACAGACACATTAGGATTTTGTTTTAGATACATACACATGCATATATATTCACATATATGTAATATATATCTTCCAGAGAGAAATTTATTAAACATTATTTCTTTTCTCTTTCCAAATTTAATTCTGTTTCTTATCTTGAAAAAGATTTATATATATATATATATATATATATCCAAGAAAGAAACAACATTAGGACTTCATTTGGTATTATATGTGCATATATATATATTTCTCCCTTGGTCCAGGAGAACACATGGAAGCTTATCTATACAACCTTGATTTTGCGCACAACTGAATAAAATAACCACCTCATAAACACAACCACTCAGCCAGTTTAGAGGCCGAATCAAAATTGTGTGGGACCCTCCAGCCAAACATAACTGGGGGGAACAATGTGGTCCTCACACACACACAAACACATGTATAAATATATATATAAATTTGTTGTTTGTACTCCTGGGAACTAAATTCAGGGTCTTGCACATGCCAGGCAAGCACTCTACCCCTTCTTAAAATTGTGTTTTAAAAAGGGGTCTTGCTAGATTGGGCTGGCCTTCAACTTGTGATCTTCCTGTTTCAACCCCTCAAGTAGCTGGAATCATATGCCATATGGCATCACACCTGGCTCTGCCAGTACATTTTTAATAAAGTCCCACAGTTTATTTCTATAGTTTTCTACTTTGTTTTGCTGTTAAATGTAATTCACAAACCACAAGTAGTATTTTTTAACTTATTTTTGTCGTTATTAGTCTGCTTGTACTTTGCTTAGTTGTGAATAATTTTAAGGTGAGTCAATCAGTTTTCAACTATCATTTTCTTATAGTGTCTTCTTGTTTGCCATAAAAAATGCATGGCAAACTTAACCATCATTTGCGGTCATCGGAAACTTTGGGGGAAAACACACTTATTTGGAGCAGAAGTCTCACACAATGCCAAAAAGGAGCCAGATGGCATTCCTTTCATAATAAAAATGTGTGTATCAGAGATTGAAAAGACAGCCTTGTGTTTACAAGTATGTTGTTAACTTTTTAAACTCTAAAACCATAAATGCCTTTGTGATTTGTTTTAATGAAAAAAGAGACTTCAAGAAACTCAGCACTCTCCATTTGTAGTAACTGAATTTATTCACATTTATTTGGAAAATGTTAATTTATTTGACTTCAATTTGTATTTTTTAAAATACTAATAAAAATTGAAGTAGATCCATCAACTTTGTTTAGATGTCTGTATTTAGCTCTTTGTACTAAATTAAAATATTGCATACTGTTTGCTTTTCTCTTCAAGGGAATTTATCACGTCAGTGGCAACAAGGTAAAAACTACAATACTGTGTCAAGCTCTTGAAAACGGAAGGCATTTAGTAGATCTGTCCGAATTTACTTCACATGACATCTGTGAAGTGCTAAAATTATACCTTCAACAGGTTAAACTTTTATTCTAAATCTACCATCAAATAAAAAGAGCAAAAATATTTTATATTTCATATTTTTCATTGGTATAGACTATGTCATTCCCCCCCCCCCATTATTCTAAGATTTTATAATGATGTACTTTGATGTGGATATATTTCCATCCAGTATTCTGGTCACTCCATGAGCTCTGTCAGTTGTGAGCACTTTAGTTCTTGGAATTTTCTTGATTTTTATTGCCCATTTCCCCACCCACCCTCTGTCTTTGTAATTTGTACTTGAAGCTCTTGGAGATGTGTGTGTGTGTGTGTGTGCACATACACAAACACACATATAAACATTTATAAGTTTGTTGTTTGTACTCCTGGGAATTAAAAATTCAGGGTCTTGCACATGCTTGGCAAGCATACATGTTCTCTAGTTCCCTTACCTTTCCTGTATTGTTCTTTTTTTCTTCAAAACCTTTCTAAGACATTTCCTTGTCTTTTTCTTCTTGGCTAATGTAAATTACTCCATTCGTGAGATCATGTTTTAATTTTCAAGAAGTCTGATTTTCTATTCCTTTGATAACATTTTTTAAATGATTATATGATGCTCTTTTATTGTGGATATTCATAGATTTTACTTGTTAAGGGTTCTTTTCTCTATTTAGCCTCTAACCTCTCTAGAAATACAATGTGACCCTCATATATAACGTTAAATTTTCTATAGCAACATAAAAATTAAAAATTAGGTGAAGCAAATTTTAATATATCATTTAACATTTTGAGTATCTAGTATTTTAAATTATGAGGTATTTTGTTTATTTATTTATTTGTATTGGAGGTCTTCTTCTTTGAAATCTGGTATCTATTTTTCATTTAGAGCACATCTCAATTTAGATCAGTTTCATTTCCAGTACTCTTTCACCATATCTGACTAGTTGCCAGCATATTGACAGCATCATTTTAGACCTTCAATGTGTTCTTTTTCTACCCATTTTGATTTTTGTCTTTCATGGTGTCTAGTTACATTGGAGTTTGGACTTGAAATTGCTTTGGAAGCACTTGAACACATCAAGGCTTTTTAAAACTTTCAACTTTACTATAAAGCGGTCTAGGTGGACTATTTGGTATATGCCTAACCACATGTCTCTAGTTCCCTGTTCTGGCACTGGTGTGATCCTCCTGGGAAGGCATTTTTTTTTTAAATTGTAGTTGGACCCAATACCTTTAGTTTATTTATTTATTTTTATGTGGTGCTGAGGATCAAACCTAGTGCCTCACACATGCCTGATGAGTGCACTACCACTGGGCTACAACCCCAGTCCCACCAGGAAAGGGTTTCTTCCTTGCCTAGAGATACAGTACCGATACTGTGGGAGCCAGGGTGTGTAAGATGACTGTAGGATCTGTGCTTTCAGTGTGTATATAGCCAACATATCCCCATTTGAAGACAGTTACCTCTTTGTTTCTTATGTTTGGCATTGCCTCGATGCAGAGAGCCTCTGTATCCCATTGCCCAGAGAAAAAATTTCCAGAGTTTTGGGAAGGAGATTGCTCTAGTGCATGGAGTGGAGACAGGATTCTATAGAGAGCTAAGCTTTCTCAGCTGGCCCACCTGCAACCTAACCCAAGATCAGAGGACGTGGTAGTGATTGTCCACGTCCCTTTAGGACTCTGAAAATCATGTTGAGTGACAAGGGGTCAGCTCTCTTGGAAATGCTGCATCAGGACTTGTTCATCTGCTCTTCTACTTGTGAATTGTTGCTTTTTGTTTTCTCTATTTTCCTAGTCCTTATGAGCCTACTGTATTTTAGTGGGGTTTCAGGACGGAAAGAAATTAAGTATAAATTGCTAGATCTACAATGTTAGCCCAGGAAAGCATTGAAAACTCTTTAATCACATTCTACAGACCCCTCAACTGAGAAATGGAGGTTGATACCTTTGAATGACTGTAAGTCTCATAATGTGTCATCCTTAGTCTCATTTGGTCAGTCAGGGAGAGGAGATGAATAGAGTCCAATACAATAAACTTGATTCTGTTGAGGAATTTTGTATGTCTGAGACTTTCATTTGGGAAAGTGTGCTCAATTCTTGCAATATGTCAGGGAGTAGCCTTTATTTGACTCATTGACCTAAAGCTCCAAGAGGGTAAGTGACTTGCTTCAGATCCCAGAGTGGTGAAGATAGTAACTGATCACAGGGCAACACCCTAACTTTCCACAGATATTATAGGACATCAGGTAGCTAACGGTTCACTGAATTTTCTATTGTAGATCAGTAGAAACATTGAAATTCATTATGGCAGTGGATATTTGTTGTAAGAACTTTTTTTTAAAAAAATCTATTCATGGCAAATCAGCCTGTTTTAAAGTTTCATGAGATGTTGACAGTATGTTTTTGTAGTTCATATTATCTTGTGCTGATCTTCATTCTTGCCCAAGTAAAATATGGGCCATGTAGCACTTTGATATTTTTACCCCTTACATAAAATCTGTGCCTTTTCAGATTCATTTTATTGATTTAGTGCACTATCCTTGGTTTGTTCCAGTAAAACAGCTGAAGATCATGCTATTTGGGGGGCAGATGTAAATATAATGTGTTTAGGATACAGATGAAGAGTTTTAAAATCCCATCATGAAGCTTGAAGTTTAAACTTCATTTAAAGTTTAGAATTTCACTCATTATCTATTAATTTGTTATTAACATAAATATAATTTATAGTGATGATTTTGATTTGCTTCTAAGTCACTTCTCTACCAAACACATATATTTTATGGGCAGGGATGAAGCTCAGTACTAGAGTGCTTGCCTAGCATGCTTGAGGTCCTGGTTCAATCCCCAGTACTGAAAAAGAAATAAATAAATACAGATTGACTTTAGATTTTGTTATCTAAAGGGACATACTAAATTATTTGAGTAACTCTCACTTATAGTTGTCTTTAACAAAAAAAAAAAAAAACAGGTAGAAGATTTTTTAAACATATTTATTTTTTGGTTGTAGCTGGATTATTAATTAATTATTAATTTTTATGTGGTGCTGAGGATCAACCCGAGGTCCCCACATGTGCTGGACAAATGCTCTACCTCTGAGCCACAACCTCAGCCCAAAGATAATTTTAATATAATTTTATTTCTTCAGCTACCAGAACCATTGGTTTTATTCTGATGGTACCAGGAATTTATGGAGCTTGCAAATGTCATCCAACATATTAACCAAGAACAGAACACCAAAAGGGACAATTCTGAAGACAACACACATATATAGAAATCAACCAAATTCTTCTCAAAACCAAGGACCTTCTAAGACAATTGCCACCGTCCAATTTTAACACTCTACATTACCTTATCATCCATCTTAAGCGGTAAGAATTTTTATACCGTCTTAACCATTTTTAATTGTACAGGGTAATAGTATTCAGAACATTTATATTATTGTGGTATGATTTAAAAATGATTTTTAGGATGTTTTTATTACATGTTGGGAAAGGGAGACCTTGAATACATGTTTATTCAGCAAACATGGTTCCCTCAGATGCCTCCTGTGTGCCAGGCTCTGGTTGGGGAAACTAGGATGGAAATACAGGGTTTCTGCTATTTGTGGGCCCATCCACTTGGGGGACAGACCTGTATATAACCAAAGTACACCATTATCCTTTTTCTAGTAGCCAACGACATGATTTTATACTTGGAGGATCCAAAAAACTCCACCAGAAAACTTCTAGAATAATAAATGAATTTGGCAAAGTAGCAGGATATAAAATCAATACCCATATATCAAATGCATTTCTATACATCAGTGATGAATCCTCTGAAAGACACATAGCAAAACTACCCCATTAACACACTCTCTCTCTCTCTCTCTCCATATATATATATATATATATATATATATATATATATATATATATATATATATATATATATCTCACAGCTTCTTTACCCATACATGAATCTAGTATCATCCTGATAGCTAAACCAGGCAGAGACACATCTCCTTGGATAGTCATAGAAATAACAAGCTGAGAGTGTTTGAAGTAAAACCAGAACAAAAACATTGATAGTGGAAATAGAACAGAGAGATGTTCAGGAGAGAGAATCATCTAGGCTAGAAAAATAGCTGTGGGCGGCTGGGATTGTGGCTAGTGGTACAACACTTGCCTAGCACATGTGAGACACTGGGTTTGATACTCAGCACTGCATAAAAATAAATAAATAAAATAAAGATATTGTGTCCCTCTCTAGCTAAAAATATTTTTTAAAAAGAAACCTAACTGGGCAGTGAGAGAGAAGTTGACAGTGATGTTTCAGTTTCCTGTATAAGAAATGGGGAGTATATACCACATACAAAGATGGAGCAATTTTTAGGGGTGTTTTTCTTCCTTCTGCTACTAAGAGTTCAATAGTTCCTTCTACTTACATGCATTTTATCCTAATATAATACTCAAAAACTCAGTTTGGTGTGTGGTAAGTATCATAATGAAACAAATGATTCTTTCCCTAGACCCACAAAACTTGACCCTTGACAAATGTTTTGTAGTCTTCTGTAGCCTGTGTTTTCTCCACCCTTCTCAAGTCATAGTAAACTACCATTAAGGACCTTTAATAGGCAAATCTCATACACTTTATGTGTTCTTCTTTTCAGGGTTGTAGACCATTCTGAAGAAAATCTGATGAACTCAAAAAACTTGGGGGTGGTATTTGGACCCTGTCTCATGAGGCCCAGGCCTACAACCACTCCTGGTACCATCTCCTCCTCCCTTGCTGCATATGACAATCAGGCCCTGTTGGTAGAGTTCCTCATTACCAACACACAGATGATCTTCAATGGGTCCCTAGAGCCACAAAATGTTTCATGTAGTACAAATATTATTGCACCTCGGGTGGATAAAAGCTCTCCTTCCAAACCCATGATATCAACAGAACATTCCACAAAGTCACAATATTTTTCTACAAAGCAAGTGAGTTTTGACCATTATAGTATTGCATTAAATTTGTGATGTTTATGTTAACAAGTTAATAGTCTTTGAACTGTTTGTTTTGAGATGTGTTTTGCTTTTAGTTTAAAACTTTTCTTGTCTCAATAGGATATCCACACTGCAGATATTGAAATTGAAAATTTTGAATCGGCTACATCATTTGAGGAATCAGAATGTAAGCAAAATGCATTGGAAAAATGGGATGCATGCCTCATTGGTGAGTAGTCATGTAACATATATGTTTGCATATTTCAAACCTTGCCAAGAAGTCATGATTAAAAACCAAGGTGAGGGCTGGGCTTGTAGCTCAGTGGTAAAACGCTTGCCTCGGCATGTGTGAGACCCTGGGTTGGATCATCAGTACCATATAAAAATAAATAAATAAAGATAAAAATACTGTGTCCATCTACAATTCTTATTCATTCAAAAAAAAAGGTGAATTAATTGAGGTAAGTTCAAACTTTAAGGTTTTATTAGTTAACTTTGCTAGCCATTGAAAAAGATTAATGAATGTCACTTAAATGAATGTCATGCTTTGTTTCTTTCTTGTGAAAAGATATCTTGAAATTCAAAAATTATTTTTGTTCTCTTTCTGAAATTTGTTTTCACCTTTACTTCTTTGTCATCAATTAAAGTCAAAGTAGAAAATAGCTGGACTCCTGAAACAAAAAAATTGACTCCTAAAGTTTTTTGATGTCCCTTTACCTGTGGCCTACCTTTAGCACATTAAGCACACATGTCTTCCATTTTCTTGGCTCCAGTCCTTTTGTTCACTGTTTTTTGATCATTTTATTTCAGTGAATGGTTTCTGGTAAGGGGATTGAAAACCTTCCATTCGTTACTGCTTTAGTAGAGCTAAATCTGAATTTTTTCAACATCTAGCCATATATGTTAAATCTGATATATAAAATTAATGAAATATCAATGCGTGTAGCCTGAGAAAGTCTGAAAACAAAGGGAGTCCATTACCTCTCTGTGAAGAAAAGCACTGGACTCACTGATTCCATTTATCTGATTTGATCTTATTAGCACTTCTGTGCTATGAAACTTGGCCTCATTTAAGCCATAGCTAACAGTCGGAGGAAGGTTAATAATGCCAAGAGTCATGTCCCTAAATTATTGTTGATTCAGGATTTGAACCTCATCCTGTCTCATTCCTAAATGTAACCTTTTTTCACTGTCCAGTGAAATTGGATTCCCAGTTAGGTATAGTAATAACAATAAATGATTTTAAAATATTTTAAAGTTTTCATGACATACCAGGTAATTCTGAGCCTTTTCTTTAGTAGATCATCAACACCACATGCCATCATATCTCCACATCGGAGTCTGTCTTGACAGAAGAAGGCAGGTAGGGCTAGTGCACTAGACTTGGTCAGGGCAGAACTGGAGCAGGAGCTAAGCCAGCACCCAGGCAGCCGGCTGCAGAGCCTGCACTCTTCATGGTGCTAGAAGTTCTGCAGGATTGTAAAAATGCTCATCCAACCACAATGGCTCAGCTCCCTTCTATCAATGTGAAGAAGGGCCCAGGGCAGCAGATCACATGAGCACTGCCTGGGAACCAGGGAAGAGAGGCCAGCAGCCTCAGGTTAAGAAGGAGGTCAGATGAGATGATAACCTGCCAGTGATGCTGGTGTGCACCTATCTGCAAACCACTGCCCAAGGACATGGGAGAAGGACCAGGTGGCAGGGATGAGGACTGTGGGCTATGAACAGGGCTGTTGGAAAGCCGTCAGACCACTGGCAAGGCACAAAGTTGTCTGATGTTTCTCAGCAGGGAGAGGAGGATCATGGCCAGAAGGCTGCACCTTCCTAGCAACAGGAGCTTCTGGGGTAGATGCAACAAAGTCAGAGTGTGAGGTGCTAGGGTTCTAGGTGAGAAAACAGGGACTTGGGACAAGAGTAGAGGAGAAAGAGAAGGAAGTAAATCTGGAGTCACCAGGACCAGTAGCAGAATGATAATTTTGACAGCTCTTCAACCTTCCTTTGATCAGAGGATGTTGCCATGTATTAGTGGATCAGCTGGGAGAGCATCCAGATCCTCTCTGGTGTGTTGCCCTCAGTATGGACAGAACGTAGCTGGAAAGCAGATTAAGTGACAGGCAAAGTCCTTGGGATTCAGGACATAGCATTTGTTGGTTGTCAGAATAGTGTTACTGTTCTAGAGTTACCATTGTCTGCCTGTTGAAATCAGGAAAGTTCTAACCCAGAAAATATTAATTCATGGGTAGTATATTAAAACAAATTACTTCAGGAAGTGTTTTCTTTTTAATTTTATGTGATTTGTGGCTATTTGTTCTATTGATTAAGATAAATTTTTAAAAAAGTAATGCTTTAATTAAAAATGTACCTTTAATACTGTATGGATTTTTAATTCCTCTGCATAGATGACTGAGAAAATCATGTTGGAAAAAATATGTCAGACTGTGTTGTTTGAGAGAGTGCCCATTTATAAATAACCACACTTCCTTATTAACCAAGCTCCATGAAGTTATCTCTTCTTTTTCAGATAACAAAGAACTTGAATCATCATCCCAAAAGATGGACAATATGTGTAAAACCATGAAACCACTTAGTCTGAAATCTGATGTGGCAACAAATGATACACAGAGACCTATGCCAAGCACCAAGATCAGATGTTTCTGTTGGCCTGTAGATAGGTTCCATCTTGCAAGCTCTCCTAATGAGAGAAACAGCAGAAATGTGGGAAATGTCAATTCAGACAAGTTTTGCCAGAATCTTACCTTTGAAGGACTTAATAGAAAAGATACCCCTACTACCGTTGGTTCCCAATTTAATGGCTTTGATCAGCAGATTCCAAAAAAAAACAACTCAGGGACAACAATGTGAACCAAAGAACTTAACTGGCATGAGTGCAGTGATTGTGCCAAGTGCACTCCAGGAAAAAGTGACAATGAGCGTCAGGGTTAGTGGTGACCATTCCAGCGATGCCACACAGCCCAACATGCCAGCCAGATCAGCAAGAGAGGCATCAGAGAGACGGTCCTCTCATTCTCACCATCTTGCTCCTGCAAGAGCACCCAGAATACTGCAGCCCCATCTCGCGACAACATTTTACAAACCACCTACCCCGACCAGCAAAGTCAGAGGGACTGAGGAGAGACCAGCTTCACCTTCAGCAGCAGTGCCTCCTAGCACAGCTCTTACTCCCCTGAGTCATGTGGAAAAATCCCTTCCAGGGGCAGACAGCACATCAGCTTGTCCTTTGCAGCCAACTGCTGAGCCTAAAGAGAACTCTGAGGAGCTCGGCCTGCCTGATATGAATCCAATGTGCCAGGGACTCAGGCTAAAACAAATGGGAGAGTTACAAGACCTTGAATTTGAAATGCCACAGTTTGTGTAGGGTTGTCAAAATTCAGGTTTTTTTTTTCTTGTTTAGTTTGTGGTATTGTGTCTATTTTATGAAAGAATGTTGTGACAGAACCCCTTTTGTATAGGAGGCCAAAGTGTGTATTTTGCCTTTTGGCCTTGTATCCTGTTTGCTAGTCCTATAGAATGGTAGTGTTTTAGTCATATAGAATGATAGTGCCTCACTGGTATTGTCTTTAAATTCTGTGTTTTTGAATTGTGTATAAAATAAGTATTATAATTTTAAATTTCAAATGATTTTCTCTATAAAATGATCCATGTAAATGCATCTTTAATCTATGGTATTATTCTCAACAAATAGGGGCAGTAGGGGAAAATGAACTTTATTTTGGAGCAAACCTGGTGCTGATTCATAAAATGCTTTTGAATGCAAGTACCTGAAAAATCTTGATTGGGTATGAATATATTTCTTCCCACTTAATGTTCTAGTGAATCTTTGATCACTTGTGTTGTTATAGTGGTCAAATGCTTCAATGGAAGCATTGGCAATTCACTTAACTTTTTAATACTTACATAGTGGCCAAAAAGATTGTGAATCTATATTTAATTGCATTCTACTTGTCAATTTTTACATATGGTAGTCAATACAATTGTAGAAAGAAAATGCACTTCAATACTAAAAAGTTTGAGACATTGGCGGAGACAACACAGATGTCACACACAGTTGAGGTGTCTCAGTGTGAGAGACCCGTAACCTCACTGCTCTTAGCTCCAGCCTATTGCTGGATTGCCTGCTGTTGGGGTTTTTAGCCCCCGTCTCCTCCTGACTGGCAGGAGAAGCGGGAAAGCGCGCCCGACCAAGACGAGCCAAGAGAGGTAAAGGTCGACTGGCTGCCCACACACCAGCCCTCCCTGGAGGATAATCAGACAGGCCAGGGAGACAAGTCCAAGCAGGATCTCGTTTAATGAGGAAGTACACACAGCTTATATACTGCACCGGAGCAAATCAGAATAAAGGTCAGAGGGGTGGAGCAAGTTTAGGTGTACACCCATCCCATAGTCTGTAAGGGAAGGCATGAGCTGTCCACGAGGGTGGAAGAGTCCTGGACCTATCCTGGAGGTGGTCCGCCTCCTCCGTCAGTGCCCACAGCACTGCCAGGAGCTGTCCCAGCCACCTGTGCGGCCCCAAGACCAGGAAGCAGGCAGCCATGCCCTACAGCAACTTCTGGCTGTCTGCTTCCCTGCCTGCTGATCCAGAGCAAGTGGCCAACAGCCATGGCAAGATGAAGCTGTCTCTGGTGGCTGCGGTGCTGCTGGTGCTCTGCGTGGCACAGGCCGAGGAGGAGGACAAGAAGGAGGACGTGTGTACTATGGTTGGCATCGACCTGGGGACTACTTACTCCTGCATCAGGGTGTTCAAGAATGGCCACATGGAGATCATCTCCAATGATCAGGGCAGCTGCATCACACCATCTTATGTGGCCTTCACCCCTGAAGAGGAACGTCTGTTCGGCAATACGGTCAAGAATCAGCTCACCTCCAATCCTGAGAACACGGTCTTTGGCCACACTTGGAATGACCCGTCTGTGCAGCAAGACATCAAATTCTTGCCTTTCAAGGTGGTTGAAAAGAAAACTAAACCATACATTCAGGTTGATATTGGAGGTGGGCAAACTAAGATCTTTGCTCCAGAAGAAATTTCTGCTATGGTTCTCACTAAAATGAAAGAGAGTGCTGAGGCTTACTTGGGAAAGAAGGTTACCCATGGAGTTGTTACTGTACCAACCTATTTTAATGATGCCCAGCAGCAAGCAACTAAAGATGCTGGAACTATTGCTGGCCTGAATGTTATTAGGATCATCAATGAGCCTACAGCAGCTGCTATTGCTTATGGCCTGGATAAGAGGGAGGGAGAGAAGAACATCCTGGTGTTTGATCTGGGTGGTGGAACCTTCGTTGAGTCTCTTCTCACCATTGACAATGGTGTCTTCGAAGTCGAGGCCACTAATGGAGATACTCATCTGGGTGGGAAAGACTTTGACCAGCGTGTTATGGAACGCTTCATCAAGCTCTACAAAAAAAAGTCTGGCAAAGATGTTAGGAAAGACAACAGAGCTGTGCAGAAACTCTGGCATGAAGTAGAAAAGGCCAAGCAGGCCCTGTCTTCTCAACATCAAGCAAGAATTGAAATTCAGTTCTTCTGTGAAGGAGAAGACTTTTCTGAAACCCTGACTCAGGCAAAATTTGAAGAGCTAAACATGGACCTGTTTTGGTCTACCATGAAGCCTGTTCAGAAAGTACTGGAGGATTCTGACTTGAAGAATTCTGACATTGATGAGATTGTTCTTGTTGGTGGGTCTCCTCAAATTCCAAAGATTCAGCAACTTGTTAAACATTTCTCAATGGCAAGGAGCCATCCTGTGGCATAAACCCAGATGAGGCTGTTGTATATGGTGCCGCTGTCCAGGCTGGTGTACTCTCCAGTGATCAAGATACAGGTGACTTAGTACTGCTTGATGTATGTTCCCTGACACTTGGTATTGAAACTGGGGAGGTGTCATGACCAAGCTGATACCAAGGAACAATGTGTAACCACAAAGAAGTCTCAGGTCTTTTCTACAGCTTCTGATAATCAACCGACTGTTACAATCAAGGTTTATGAAGGTGAACAACCCCTGACAAAAGACAACCACCTTCTGGGTGCATTTGATCTCACTGGAATTCCTCCTGCTCCCTGTGGGGTCCCCCAGATTGAAGTCACTTTTTAGATAGATGTGAATGGTATTCTTTGGGTGACAGCTGAAGACAAGGGTACAGGGAATAAAAATAAGATCACAATTACCAATGACCAAAATTGCCTGACACCTGAAAAAATTGAAAGGATGGTTAATGATGCTGAGAAGTTGCTGAGGAAGACAAAAGACTCAAGGAGCGCATTGATACTAGGAATGAGTTGGAAAGCTATGGCTACTCTCTGAAGAATCAGATTGGAGATAAAGAAAAGTTGAGAGGCAAACTTTCCTCTGAAGATAAGGAGATCATAGAAAAAGCTGTAGAGGAAAAGATTGAATGGCTGGAAAGCCACCAAGATGCTGACATTGAAGACTTCAAAGCTAAAAAGAAGGAACTAGAAGAAATTGTTCAGCCAATTATCAGCAAACTCTATGGAAGTGCAGGCCCTCCCCCGACTGGTGAAGAGGATACAGCAGAAAGAGACGAGTTGTAGATACTGATCTGCTAGTGCTGTAATACTGTAAATACTGGACTCAGAACTTTCATTAGGAGAAAATTGAGAGAACTTAAGTCTCAAATGTAATTGGAATCTTCACCTCAGAGTGGAGTTGAAAATGCTAGTGCCCAAGTGGCTGTTTACTGCTTTCCATTAGCAGTTGCTCACATGTTTTGGAATGGAGGGAGAGGAGGAATTGGTTATCTTAAAAAACTGGATATAAAAATGTGAGTCAGGATGTGTGTTCACCTCAGAAATGTTCTATTTAACGATTGGGTCATGCACATCTGGTACAGGAACTTTTTTCTACCATAGGTGACACCAATAAATGTTTGTCATTAAAAAAAATACTAAAAAGCTTGGAACTGTCATAAAATAAAAATTTATACACATAAAACTAAGGGATAAAACATTATCAGAAGCATTAAAACCATCTAAAGCCAAAGAACTAAACTATATAATTTAAATTATAATATATTTATATATTATACATTATGTATTATATATTATATACTACATATTGTAGAATTACATATATCTATATGATATAAGTAATTTATATATAATTATAATATAATCCATATATATTATATTAATATAAATTATACTAATATAATAATCATATTATTATCTTATTAATAATAGAAATTATATTATTGTATAATTACATTACAATGATAAGTAATATAATATAAATTAATATAAATCTAAATATATTATATGATATATAATATATATGTTTTATATAATAAAATAATATATATTTATATTTAATTTATATATATTATTTTATTATATGTGTATATAATATATATGCATTTCATATATTATATATAATTTATATTAAATATGTATAAATCATATATATTTTATATATAAATATATAATTTATATAATAAATAATTTATATAATATATTTATATATTAATATATAATTTATATATAAGTATATAAATATATTACATATTATATAATTTATATATAATATATAAATATATACACAATAATATATAATATATTTATATATTAATATATATAATTTATATATACTAAATTTACATATATAATTTATATATATATTTTTAATTATATATATAAATAATTAAAAATGTATTATATATAATATAATGTAAATTAATATAAATGAGTATGTTATATAAATATATTGTATTTAAATTATATGATATTATATAATATGCAATATATTTATATGACATTATAATTTAAATTATATAGATAAATTATGTCTTATTGGGCTTTAGATGATTTTAATACATTTGATAGTTTTTAACCCCTTAACTTTATCTGTAAAAAATTTTATTTTATGACATATTTAAACTTTTTTATATTTTTTATAATGGTCTTAAAAAACACGTGCTTCAGAAATTTTTTATTTCAATTCATTTTTCTCTTGAGATTATGAGGGTTTTGTTAAAACCATTCCTTTTGGCCAGGCACAGTGATGTATGCCTGTAATCCCAGTAGCTTGGGAGGCTGAGACAGGTGGATCTCAAGTACAAAGCCAGCCTTAGCAATTGCGAGGCGCTTAGCAACCCTGTCCCTAAATAAAATTCAGAATAGGGTTGGGGAGGCGGCTCAATGTTTGAGTGTCCCTGAGTTCAATCCCCAGTACAAAAAAAATTCTTTTGTATGAAATGTTTTGACTTATAAATCACTTTACATACTTTTTCTACCTGGACTATCAACCAGTGAAAATGTATATGTCATTAGAATTGAACAATAATTTATTTAAGTTCATTTTGAGAGTATAGTAAGTCTTATTGATTGGAATTTGTGAGATGTAG